AACTGTAAATGGAAATAATGTATGTATTTCAATATTCAATTTAAGAAATAATATATCCCAAACAGTGATTTTATCGCTCAATAACATCACTGTTTGGAGTTCGGATGCGAGGAATTATATCACGAGGGCGTAGCCCGAGTGATATAATGATGCGCATCCGAACGACAAACAGTGATGTTATCAAGCGATAAAATCACCGATTTGGATATATTATTTCGATTCTAACAAGACATCAACAAATAAATGTTGCCGTACTTGATATATAAGCAAAATTGCGCCTGATTTGTTTCCGTACTTATTTTCCGCGCGTCGGATTTTTAGTGGTTACGTCACGTGTATAATGAATACGTCACATGTCTAAATATAGAACGTCAAACTGTGCATCTGTTGCATAATAACACACACTTTCTGTTCTTCTATGCTCAATAGGTAAAAATGCGGGTCGTGTTAGAATTATCTATAAAAGATGTCGAGATTAATGTTGACTGTAGTTCAGTTTAATTTTGAATATATTTTTTTTTGTTTCAATGACACAACATATTTACTTTACAAATTCAATTGCTAATAATTTAACATTATTTTGAAAGTAAAAGTTTTCGATCATTAAATGTCGAGGTTGGCGACTTTCCCGCCAAATTATTTAATACATAGCCTGCTGATAGCATCTGCTTTCACACATACGACCAGTGCAGAAGAAGATCTGCCGGCACAGCCGTGCGCTGTTCGGAGCTGATCTTTGACGGATGTCCCAGCTGATCTTTGTTTACGCTGTTCGTCATTCTGTCAATTGATATTTAGTTTATTAAAAATATTTTAAAATTATTTTATCCTGAATGAAAGATTGGTAAGTCAAGTTATAATATGAAGCATATAACATTAATTAGGTAAGCTGATTCTTGTACAGAAATGAGCCGCGTCACGACAAAACCAACATAGTGCGTTTGCGACCAGCATGGATCCAGACCAGCCTGCGCATCCGCGCAGTCTGATCAGGATCCATGCTGTTCGCTGTCAGTCTCTCCACTTGTAATAGAGTTGGTAAGCGAACAGCATGGATCCTGATCAGACTGCGCGAATGCGCAGGCTGGTCTGGATCCATGCTGGTCGCAAACCCACTATGTTGGTTTTGTCGTGAAGCGGCTCAAATGATTAAGACAAAAGCCTAAAATAAGTGTTATATAATTGCTTTTTTAAAAAAAATATATTTATCCTTGAAGACATGTCACTGGTCTTAGATATGAATCTGGTGTTCCATTTTTTTTAAACTGTGACAGGTCGGATGAACTTTTCACATGTTGAAATAAAACATATACATATACTAAGTTCTATTTTATTCTGTTCTACATTAACAAAAATACTTTATATTTCTTATGCTCCGGAGATCAAAGATAAACAAATACTCTTTCAAAAAGAAGGGTTTTTTTTAGCGATTTTACGATTGTGTTGATCATGCTGAAAACTATAGAGCATATAAAAAATGTACATTGTAATATATTATTTTTTTCAAGTCAAGTCAAATTTTTCTTACACACATTTCATGTTAACATTGAATAAATGTGGTTAGTAATAAATACAATGTTAGTAGAGGCTCTTTGAACATATATGCAATGTATATATAATATGACTGGCAAAATAATTCGTATTAACAGTATTTGTTCATATCATTTGCTTAACTACAGTTCAGTTAACAATATATGAAAACTACAACTTTTTAAATTTCTTAGTGAATAGGTTACCACATAAAACCGTGGAGAGTCACGTAATTTAGACGCTCTCTTAGGGTATAATTTCATTTTATATTACCTTTCTTTATATTTATCAACAAACGATTGAATGATTACAATATATAATCAAAGCACAGAAGGCGCTGAATTTGTTTGGGTCTCAGAATGTCAGAAAGGTGAAGGTTGTGAGATTATAAACCAATTTGTTTTTGTATAGTGCCACCAATGCTTTCCAGCGTTTAAATTGATAGTAAATTGGCTATAAGACTAATTGCAACACTGATATTCAATGTTTATTTGACTTAAACAATTTGAAAAAAAATGAGTTGCCTTAACTGAGATTTGGACTCCAAACCTCTCGCTTCCTAAGCGAGACTGCAAACCCCTCGGCCACTGTGAAGTTATATGTTAACGGCCTGAAGAAAACCATATTATTCTAAAATAGGGTTTGTAACCCTTATTATTTCGACGCTTACTGTTGTTTTACACAGATGTAAATAATCATGGAGCTTACTATAAGCATGAATATCTATAAAGAATAAAACAATATTAGAAATATTCGACCATTCGGGAACTATTTTGCTTGAAAATTATTGCGCCTGTCATTTGACCATCTTTACGCAGTGATCTCCCCTGAATTTTTCGGCGGTAGTGTACATATAAAGGGAAGTAATCGCTTCAAAAAAGCGGACTTCTTTCGGCATTTGCAATTAACAGCATCAGAGTCTGAAATTTCGCTACCATTATTTGTTTGGTCTGACGACCCAAACAAATAAAAAAGAAAAAGAAATAATAATATAAACAACTGACATGTGATGTACAATTAAGTACGACATAATATTTTAAACCTTTACAATGACATTTCTAGACTCATACTTGTTTATGTAATAATCCTATGTAATAGTACGCATAAATACATTTTTATAGGTACAAATTATAGGCAAAAGGCTGTGTTTTGTTTGTATTTTTCTTAATCGGAAATCACACATTAATGAAAACACTATGCCACGTAAATAAATTTGTAATACCTATGAAACAAGCCCATTGAAACAAACAAATATGCGTTATTTTTGTCTAAAATATAGGCCGCCTTAGTGTTCCTTATCGAATATGTATAATTCATAAAAACCAACAACAAAATAACCCCTTTAAAACAACAACAAAATAACGCCTTTAATAACCCCTTTAGATTACAACAACAACAACAGCAGCAGCAACAGCAGCAGCAACAACAACAAAAAAAAAAAGCATCTTAACTATGCAAAGAATGCACCATGAAAACTTCGATGCAACTTCTTACTTTTATACTGTAAATTTCGTAATAAAAGTTGACACCAAATCTGGCATAAATTATACTCATTTCTGAATACAATACAGTATATGACCTATTTATCTGTTTAAAAAGGCTTTGAAGGGTGAAATATAATTACATTTTTCATTAATATTTGTATAAGTTTGGCTATATTTCATAATTTAACATAGCAGAATGTCATACTTCATGGTTACATGATTATGTAATTGAAAATATATACAGGTTTTGTGATTATAATTAACAACAAAGTAAAACATGGGTTAAAGACGCGTCACGTGAATTTATTAAGTGACCATTGAAAAAAACAACAACAAAAACCCAGCGAATTCTGGAATATTATTGTGATTATAATCATTCTTATTGTGAGCATTTTCGTGTAATTTCTTCATTTTTGTGTGATTTCTTTTGGATTTAGATCATTTTCATGTGATTTTTTCTGCATTTAAATCATTTTCGTGTGATTTCTTCTGCATTTAAATCATTTTCGTGTGATTTCTTCTGCATTTAAATCATTTTCGTGTGATTTCTTCTGCATTTAAATCATTTTCGTGTGATTTCTTCTGCATTTAAATCATTTTCGTGTGATTTCTTCTGCATTTAAATCATTTTCGTGTGATTTCTTCTGCATTTAAATCATTTTTGTGTGATTTCTTCTGGATTTAGATCATTTTCATGTGATTTTTTCTGCATTTAAATCATTTTCGTGTGATTTCTTCATTTTCGTGTGATTTCTTCTACATTTAAATCTTTTTTTTTGTGATTTTTTTCTACATTTAAATTATTTTCTTATGATTTTTTTCTACATTTAAATTATTTTAATATGATTTTTTTCTACATTAAAATCAAATCATTTGCGTGTGATTTCGTGTAGACATTTTTACAAATACAGTCATACAAACTGTGTCATACAAAATGTTTTTAGAAAAGTTTTTAACAATATATCTTCAAATATGGTAAAGGTAACAAGGAAGGATTTTATCATATTGGCTGACTTAATCTTCAAAGTTGTTCTAATCTAACCTTCATCCAGTTAATTCTTTTTTTTAATGAACTTAAATTGCTTCGATTTTCGCCCAATGTTATTTCATCAAAATCTACAGGTGTGCTCTAAACGTCACAGACAAAACATTAAAGGGACTCGACTCATTTTTTTTTAATATTTTATTTCGAGATTTATGTTCCATTTCATTAAGGTCTAGACTAATAACTTGCGTGCAAACTTTCACATCATTCGCTCAATCCTTTTTTCAAGAATAACCATTTTTGTTGTGGAAAAGACTCCGAAATTGAAAAGCGCTGCAACGCTATTCACTCAATTCGCTCTAAGAAAAGCACAAAAATACAATTTTCAATATATTTTTGAGTGTATTTATTAATTATCTTTTGCATATCTTTCTATTTTACGCAACCCGGCTGATGAATGTAAGAAATTCAAATTTCATGTTTTTAGGCTTTTTGACCTCAGTGGAGTTTGTTTTATATCGCTAGCAGAACAGCTTAAGACATGTAAATATCTTAAAAAATAATTATGTAACAAAAATGTAATGCGATAATTAGATTACAACAAATTAGGATATTGGTAACAGCATTTAGACCGTATAGTTCTGAATGTGTTAAAATGATATAAAAAAGTAGCACCATTTATTGTCGTGACGCGGCTCATATGTATAGATGATGTAATATTACAATCACAGTCTTATTTTTTTTTCTCACCATTCACCGAAAGTTTCTTTAGACCCAGCATATGTTCACACTTTTCATAAAAAGCATCGTTTTAGTACCGGAGGCGACACAAACAGTTTTGTCAATTGATCGTTTTGCAAATAAATATTTTATACTGACAATTGTCAACACTTATATCCGCTTTTAATGTATGAAATTTCTCCTACCTTAAGTCTTAAAAATAATATTTAGTTGACACGGTTAAACTTAAAACGCATGTAAATACGGTTCAAATGCGGCCGCGCTTTTGTTCGTCATTTCAATTGCTTTCATTATTAAACATCGTCTCTTTATACTTTAATTTCATACCAACCATTTTTGTTAAAAAATGTAATTAAATTGAGGTTTGTAATGAAGTTTCTGATCTTGCATAAGTATGTAAAGCTAATTTGAATTGAAATATTTTTATATACTAGATATTAATAAAAAAAAGCAAATCTTTCGATTTTCTACCGTAAATAACAAGGACTATTACATCTACATCTAGATGTCTTTACTGAAGCGATGAATTCGGAACACAAATGACTGATTTCTCTCAATAGGTAGAAGTAGGTTACACCAAGTTACCCGTACAATCTGCAGTAATTACCGAAATGACGGTCACTAAACACGGAAAGCGGGAGGCGGAGCTTATAGTTATATTTAAATGTGTACATGCTTTCGAAATTGCTTAAGTCTGCGATAAGTGACAGGATTTTGAAAAATCTTGGAGGATTCTAGTCTCAAGATAAGAGAAATGCGACATAATGCATGGAATATTGACATTCAGTGTCCTAGGTGAGAATAGATTTTTACTTATATATATATATATATTTTATCACTTTTATTAATGTTATTATTTTTTGGACAGGCCTTATTCTGCTGACTGAACTGATTACCATAAAACTATGAACTCGCATTATGATACATAATAAACAAATATTAAACATAAACTACAGGTTTACTTAATCCATATCTTGATATTGCAGTAATGATTGTTATTTAAAAAAATGCATTATCAATTTGAACTTTATATGATATTAATGCAACAGCTTAACTGTTTCATTTAAATGCCTATTATGCCTCAGGAATGCTTGAATTTCTCAAAATCTTCTTTTACCTGTTAAAATTTCAATAAGTAACACGTTAGTCAATAACCTTAACCATCTTTTGATTCTGTTGCTTTTTGACAATTAGTACAGATATAGTGATTAAGTAATTTGTGCAGAAGCCAAAATACTAGTTTGTTTACACTTTGCTTTTTTTATGACAAATCATTTCACATTCAGTACTTCTTTCCTCGGGTCATAAGCATGCAACATGCTCTAGAACCATCTTTTAAGATTAATAAAATGAATGTTTGCTTTTTCTTGAGAATATTTCTGTTTTTCATTTCTGAGGCAAAATGTGCCTTAAAAATTGCATACATTAAAAGGTCATTATGCAAAGAAGCATATATGCTTAAATCAAGTTTCAATAAAAGGAATGCAAAATGCAATCATCACTAAAAGGGCTAATTCTTGAAGTGATAATTGAAAATAATGGCGGGTGAATTTCGGGAATTTACAATGAAATACATCATGACTGTCATCCTTCATGAATGCTTCCTTGTGATTAAAAAAAATAAATAAAAAATACTGCTTTAAAAAAGGTAATACTATCAAGCATTTACTAAATGTTCATAAAAATGAAGATACGCCAACTTTTCTTAGGCCAAAAGTATGTTTCCTATAGATAAATAAGTTGATAGAAGCGCATCATTTGTGTAATAATAAATAATCAATATAATGATAATAATATAATAATAATAATATAATAATATAATAATAATAATAATAATAATAATAATATAAATAATAAATAAATAATGATAAAATAATAATTGATGAAAAAATTCGTTGATGAAAAAATTCGATGAGCACTGATTTTTTTGTTTGTTTTTGTTTCTTTAATATTTAAGTCATAAGTCGTCGACATAATTATAAAGAATGTCACGTGGATTAACCTTTAAGTAGGGGATTATCCTATTACATACGTTAAAACGTTTTAATATTAAGTCACCTTTCCAGCTCTAATCTTAATTCTAACTTTTGAAGTCACTTTTGTGAAGTACTCACAGTATTTCATTTTTGTATATTTATTTTTGTTATAAGTTTATAATATCAAACTACCAAAATCTGGAGTTGAATGACCCTTTAACCATTCATTTACCATAGGAAAACTTATTAAATGCGTGTATTTGAATAAATAATACCATTTAGAAATACAGTCAAACCAGTGACCAAATGTCATCCAAGGGAGAGACCAAACATGGCCTTTATACACATGTGGGCGTTATTTAAAGGTTACCTTGTTATTTTTTTTTTTAATAAATGAAGGGTTGTCGACGAGTGACCTTTATTCACAGGGTGATTTCATTCAGAGATGGTCTTTTACAACACAGGTTTGACTGTAAATATGAGGTAAACCTCCCATGTCAGAGTAACAAATAACCTTTATTTATAAAAACAGCACGGCAATGATCTATTGGATATTATTTGCACAGATTTAACATTTTTTCAAGTTACCGTCCACATTTTTTACAGATAATAATCTATATAAAAGAACTTTGTCATTCTGTCTCTTTATAAGTATGCCGTAACAATGAAATGAGCCGCGTCACGACAAAACCAACATAATGGGTTTGCGACCAGCATGGATCCAGACCAGCCTGCGCATCCGCGCAGTCTGATCAGGATCCATGCTGTTCGCTTACAAACCCTATTACAAGTAGAGAAACTGTTCGCTATCAGTTTCTCTACTTGTAATAGGGTTTGTAAGCGAACAGCATGGATCCTGATCAGACTGCGCGGATGCGCAGGCTGGTCTGGATCCATGCTGGTCGCAAACGCACTATGTTGGTTTTGTCGTGACCCGGCTCAAATATTCTGTGTGAGCTAAACTATCATATTTCTTTAAGAAATCAGTCGGTCTTGACATAAGATACTACTTTACTTTGCGCTGCAGTGTATATGAAATATATAAGTAAAAATTTGATAGCCATTTGAAATAAGTATGTCACACATGTATAACAAAATTAATCATTTAATAAATATATAATATTTTTGATATTAAGTATGAGTGTATTTTTACGTGAGAGTGAAATGAGCCGAAAAACGTTTTACGTGAAAATTTAAGAGCATAATACTTTTTAAGCTATTAAAAAGACAAGATTCTTTCATAGCACATTTAATAATAATACTATTTCATCTCATTCGGAAAACTTTGTGCTGTTTTACTTCTACCAAATATATCTATTTATGATCGAGCTGAAATATCATCAATGTTTAAATAAGACCCCATGTTAACAATACACGCAAAAAACACGCATGCACGTTACCTTAAATAAATAGTTTTTGACTGGAATTCGGCAAGTTGAATATGCGTTCAGAATCAGAATACCAAATCACTGGAATCCGAATTTTTTTCTATGATTTTGATGTAAGATCATTTTTAGTTTTTAACATAGCAGCTTATTACTTCTCTTCATTCCGCCAAAAACAAGTTCACAATTTCAATAAAAAAAAAGTGGAAAATACTTAAATTTTGTTGCAATTTAGTTATTACAAATTCAAGTATTTAACGCTTTGATTAAATTTTTACTGCCCAACGTTCAATTGTATGCGTACAAGTGAATGAGTGTAGATTTAATATTGAATTTATTGAACGAGTCAAATAAAGCTATTTTGAAAAAGCCTGTTCTCTGACGCATATGACGTCAAAATTAATGAACGGTGTGCCATACGGTTTTACGTGGTCGGAAAACGCACGGGTATCAAACTCCAACGCAGTTGTATATATATTTCTAATTGCACATTATACCTCAAAAATGAAGAAAGGACATGTTGCATGCTTATGAGCCATCAAAAGTAGTGCTGAATATGAAATAATTTGTCATAAAAGTAACAAAATTTAACAAAAGGGCCATTGGTATATATTAAACTCCAACGTATTGGTACCTTTTGTTTTGCTACACAGACCTGCGTAGCCAAATCAAAACACTACGAGGAGTTTGCACGGATATGTGACAAAATGAGTTTATAGTTTTAAACGCAATCTTACTTTAGAACAACACAAAATAATACATTTTTGAACCACAGCCGCAGGGCAATGCTGTGACTGCGTTTGTATTAGGAGAGTACTATTTGCTGTTGATTTACTGTTGTACCTCTTCTTATCATAGACCGTAGAAAAATATAAAATTATTATGTATGGAGAAAGCAAATGCATTGCATTTTTAGATAAATAAGTAGGTGTTTTTCTGGGGTTTTTTGTGGTTTAAATCAATTTCGATAAAGAACAATCCTAAAACATCTTGTTATTTTTGCAAACCAAACATATTTATATATAAAACAAAATAAGCTCGATCTTGTTTAAAATATATCGAAATTTGAACTAAATTGTGAAGAGCGGGAAAATAAATGAAGAAAGTAAATATAAAGCATCAGAAGTTAAACAGAAAATCCCTGGATAAAAAGAAATTATAAACCAGCAAAACAATTATGTTTTATATCTAATCTAAGCTTTCAAGGACACACACAAAAAACACATTACTTATATAACAAGTGTAAACTTTATCTATAATACAAAGGAAAGATAAATATATAAATAGAATTTTCTCGCTTAAAGTAGCAGACGAACACTCAAGGCGACGTTTTTCCCGCAGTTGGTAAAAATTCATACACTTGACTAAACGAATATATTACTTCATTTTAACTTAATTATTCCACTGTATTTACATTACATAATCAAAGCAGATCATAGTAGCTTATGGTATAGTAGGAATGCCAGCGAAGCGTACTTGATGCACATTTGTACCGGTTTTTTTAAGTATTGTCTGAAAAGCGGTTCTACAATGTCGCAATGATAAATGCGAAATTTCATATGGACACTGCAAATGCAGGTGCAAATTATCGTTGATGTATGAATGCAATTGTAATTGTATTGAAAGCGGTATATGATATATCAGATCCGGGTACAGTAATTTGATACTGCACAAGTATAGAAACGTGATACTCAAACTTCATTCAACATGATTTGACTAGCTTATTTGAAAATTATACGTTTCCTTCTTGAAAGAAGGAGGGTTTAGATTTTATTTATTTAAGCTCGATTGCGAGACAAGTTCTTGAATCTTATATTAATTACTTAAGAGTCCACTTCCTGGAACCAGCCAGTACGGGTGTCATATGAGGAAATATGGCCGTGACCCGAGCCCTGAGTAGGACTCGAACCCGAACCCATAATCCCTGGGTTGAGAATCAGACACCTTAACCGCTAGGTCACCGCTCCCCTTTTTATTTATGTTATTAAACTGCTCAATATTTATGAACGTTCTGTTATGCAATTTAGACAGCAGTGCAAAAATGCCAAAATGTCAAACTATTTTTCTATACTTGATTGATTTTGATTTCCTTTTACGGTGCATTTTTAAATTTAAAATGAAGTTAAAATTGGACTTTAAACAGAATATCGTATAATTTCTGTGTTAGATCTTTCAAGTGTGGTATTTTTAAAAGTCAAATAAAGCTGGAAATTATTGTTATATTGGTAAAAATGTCATGATTTGTAACATCACGCCCTTCAACGACTCCGTTGTACTAACTTTGCCATTTTGCTATTTTACGACCATTAAAGAACTGGCACGATCGTATTCTGAAACATCCTCTTACTTTGAAAAAAAAATAAATATGTCTGTATATATGAAAACCTGTATATAAAGCAAGTGAAGAGAATATTAGTTTATAAAAAATTATTTTAGTTCGATTGTCTTGGAAGCTATAAGCTTCTTGAAACACACTTGAATCCGTTCATGGAACCAGCCAGTACTTAGCAATGAGTTTAAAGTTTCATGCTAATCGAAACAACGGCTTACCCATGATGGGGTTTGAACCCACGCGGCCAGCAATCATTAGATTACTAGTCCGACGCGTTAACCACCGGTCACGCCGCCACTGAAAAGAATATTAATGCAATTCCTTTTTTTTTACAGCAACATGTATACATTTCTCACTCGAGACACCCGTTCTCAATGCAGACAGATTGGAAATAACCCCTAACGCTGGCGTTGACATAATATCGCCTGGATATGAGAGCGGGCAATATCCATACCATACAAAAAAGTTCTGGGAGCTGTATGCTCTTAATGCAAAGGTCGGTAAACAATTTGAAACTTTAAAAAATCTAACAATGAAATTAAGTAAAAAAATTAATTAAATAAATATTCAGAAATTAGGCAACAGAAATTTCTTTTCTACGCAGTCTTTATAGAAAATTTTATTTAAACATATGATAACCGACGTATGAACACATTTCGGAAGATTCTAAATTAAAATTTCAACATTTCTTGTTTAAATGTTTAATACTGCTTCAGACGGTGTTAGTGGGTGTGAATGGTAGCTTGCATTGATCATTACCGTTCACCAAACCAAGCCAGCATTATTTTCAGACGTTCTTCAGCAATAATTCTGTGTGTTTCTCTATTTTCTCATTAAAAACGAGTCTAAATTTACAATACTTTGGATACAAGAAGGGCTTATAATCAAAATAAAGATACCAAAAGTAAAATCAAGTGACTGCCATTTAACCAGCTAACTAAAAGATATGCAATTCGAAAAATAGATGCCATTTATATTACAAGGTCTTTTTAAATTACCAAAATTAGTAACCTGACATCATCATTATTTGAGCCGCGTCACGACAAAACCAACATAGTGGGTTTGCGACCAGCATGGATCCAGACCAGCCTGCGCATCCGCGCAGTCTGATCAGGATCCATGCTGTTCGCTTACACTCCCTATAACAAGTAGAGAAACTGATACCGAACAGCATGGATCCTGATCAGACTGCGCGGATGCGCAGGCTGGTCTGGATCCATGCTGGTCGCAAACCCATTATGTTGGTTATGTCGTGACGCGGCTCATTTGATTTCATATCAGAAGATACAAGTTGTATTTGAAGACGTCGACATAGAATTTCACCACACGTGCCTCTGGGACAGTGTAAGAGTTTTTCGTTCGAACTGTGAGCAGTTGACGTCATACAATAAGGGAGACGTCGTTCTCTGTGGCGTTCTGTCGACTTACACTTTCGACTCCGAGAGCTCCCCTATATGCATCTTGTTTACATCGGACTGGTATGTGAACAGACGCGGATTCAAAGCACGTGCAAGAGTTTTACCAGGTAGTTTGTGTTTAATATCAAAATTTAATTAGAAACGAAAATGTTTAGCCTTGGTACCAGTCAGGATCTTTCAAATAGAAAGGTTTAAAAGACCCTGTACCAGTATAGAGCCAGGCAAGGCTACACATTCGTACCGTCTGACCGGTCACTTCACTGTTGGTAGCTCATTTTATTTGTATTTTGATTTAGAAAAACCTTTAAAGACATATGATGCTCAAAAAAAAACCCTGATAATAACTATATAGTCTATTTTGAAATGTAAAATGAACATCTTTTGAAAACACACAGAGAGGAATTGTTATTGTAACTCAAGTCACAGTATGAATACATAGCGTCTGGCAGTTTTTATAAGCATAGATCAAATTAATTTGTTCATAGTTTATACATTCAATCATTCACAATTAGACATACTCAGGAAGAATTTACAATAGATTTCAATAAATTTCTGCTATTAAAGTATCTTACCCAAAGATGAGCATAGTATATCTTTGCACAGCGAATATGAACTGTTCCAAATTCTAAACATTTTCACATATCAAGCCGGATAAGGGTAAAACCCAATACATGTACATTTTAGGTTATATTTGATATTCAGAATTTTTGTATAAACGGTCTTTGCATAATGCCATTATTTTAAAACAACCAATGTACATGCTTTAGAATCTATTATGTACTGCGATTTTGTTTAAATGTGACATGAATTATGAGGTAATTTGACAGCACGAAGTTAATGTAATGATAACTCCGATTTTTTTTTACAAAAAGCCGTGTTTTCGAAATTTATCGTTGTATTCGTGTGAAGTTTCAGATTTACTAAAAAAATTAAGGTGACATTATGCCCTTTCAAGTGTAAATGGCCCGTGAAAATGTAAAAAAAATCAAAATAACTTAAAATTGTGCCATTATACAATTTTATATTTTACTATGAAGAAAAAGAAGAATCAATAAACCTATGTCAAACGGAAATTTCTATTATTATTCAGAAGGTATCGGTAATTCTTAATTCTTAAAAAGTCTTTTTATAAATTAGGTCGTTCTTATTTCATTAACATTTATAGGTCAATCATCATTGAAACAGTCTTTTTTTCAGATTTCTAAATTTTACTAATTCAACACGACAGCGAAATAATGAGCATAATGTCACTTTAAACAGGCGACGCTATTCTTGAGCAAAGAAAACAGTTATTTACTATTTATTTAGTTAAATGATTAAAACAAATAATGTAAAATGGTTTTACAGTCATTCAGGATACGACACGTTAATACATTTTGTAAAAAAGAGAAAAAGTCAATCGAAATTACTAGACATTACCTTTTAGTTATTAAGATCATATCTTTAACAAAGCAGTTATTTTGTTTCAGTTTACGTTAGTGGTCATATTTTATTGTTATATTTGTCCTGAAAACTAAGTATGAATTTTGATACATGTATCTTTTGTCTATTGCCTAATGTTATCACTTGCTGTTTACTTTCACAAGATTTTATAAAGTATCTTATACTCGTAAATACTTCTATTGCATAACGTTATACGCAGAGTACTTTTATAAGTTACGACCAAACATGGTCACCCGTTAAGGCCACTGGCTGTTTACAATTCACAAGATTTTGTAGCATATATTCAAGTTTCCAATTTAAGATATTTATTCAAATGAATTGAACAAATATTAATCAGCTAAACGCAGCCATTACCATAACGGTCAGAAGGTTATTACTTATTCTTATGTATTATTTACAGTTAAACACTGTATAGTTATACATAATTATGTAGAAACATCCCCATAAAAAGAGTTCAACAAACTGAAAACCTTAGCTTAACCTTAGATGGATGCGTCATCAAAAAAGGTTTTGATTAAATTCTTGCCCACCTGCGCTGCCTAATTTCTGTAGATGTAAGTTTTGTAAATATTGCTTATAGAATTTAACAACATATCCTGTATAATTATGTATTTTTTCTTAAAATCTCGTACTTCTTTTTACGATTTGATCATATCTTGAATGAACTTTGATTACAGATGTTTTGGAACACACGACAAAAGTTTTGAATATTTCAACAAGGTCTTCAACTAGTCAAATGAACAAAAGTGAGGTCGTTCCAACTACAATTGTTCCACCTCAGACAACTTTTTCTGCAAATGCTTCATTAGGAAATCTGTCTCCATCACCATCATCATCGTCGTCGTCGTCGTCATCATCATCATCACCATCCTCCTCCTCCTCCTCATCATCATCATCAACAACAACAACAACAACATCAACAACAATGACATCTATTTCACCACAAATGTCAGATCAATCCTCAGTGCCATTAAAATCATCATCTACAACAGTTAAAACAACTTCAATATTGTCGTTGTTTTCATTAACAACTCCGTCACACCTATTTCCATCATCAACAATAAAAACAAAACAATCATCATCATCATCATTATCATCATCATCTAAATCGATAATAACATCGACATTAATAGCTTTAGAGTCGGAGTCATTAACAACTGACCTATCATCAGCATCATCTTCAAAATTATCATCAGTCTCATCGTCACCAACATTATATTCTACTAATTTACCTAAAGCATCGACTCAATCAACATCGTCAGTATCTTCATCATCATCATCATCATCATCAGCAGCAGCAGCATTATCATCATCATCACCACCACCACCACAAGACACATCCTCTTTGCCAGTAACAACAACAGCCACTTTGAAGCCAGTAAAAATTGTGCTTTGCCAGCAAACAAGTATAGAAATTAGCCTCTACAACGAAATTACTATACGCTCGCCAAGTGACGCAACTGGAGAAAAATATCCTCCAAATCAACACTGTGTCTTGACAATTCATAACAACCACCTACAGGTTAGTTGGAACATGGCTGTAGAAAATATGTACTCTTTGATGCAGATTTATTATATTTTATTGTTTTAATGCTTTATAAATGTAATCTTAGGAAAATATTAAGATTTTAAGTACTTTAAAATTTGAAATTGAGAAGAAATGGCACATACAAGAGACCATATAATACCATATAATCACACTGGTTAAATATTCGTTATTGTCTTTCAAATGCTCATAAAGGTGAAAAATAGCTTACTCATTTATAAAGTTAAAAAAAACTAGCTTATTCTATTTCAGGATATCCACATGGTGTTCATTTACTTTGAAATTGAATATAATCCACATTGTGCATGGGACTTCCTCGAGTTGAAACTTGGAAATCTATCAACCCGTTACTGTGGTTACCAACTACCTCATCTAGAGAATACACAAGAAGAGAAAATTCAGCTGATTTTTCATACAGATAAAATTGTACATAAAAAGGGGTTTATGATGAAACTAATAAGTTCGTTCCGTAAGTGTTCACACATTCTTCATGTAGATTTTGTTTATTGGCAATCACAGGGTATTATTGTTTTACTTTCTTTGTTTCATATAATATTATATTTATAAATGTGTCACGTGCAATATGAATTAAAACAGATTGTAAAGATTGAATAGGATACTTCTGGCTAAAAGAATCTCCTCTGTCGACTTTTAAAGGATCATATGTTTTTCGTTTATGAAGATTGTAGACTATTTTTCCTATTCTATGACTTAAGTGGATTTACCCTGGCAGCATAAAATCATAATAAATCATATAGAAGTAACATTTCTATTGTAGATAATTCAACGAGAAAGAACAATTTAGTCAATGCCACAACAAGTTCTACGAATTCCGTTGAGACAACATCAGGATTTACACAAACACCGACATCACCTATTCATTCTACTGCTACACAGCAAACAAAATCGACAACAAGTGATAAGAATTTTGATAATACTGGGTCTTTTGGAGAAACCAGCGCATCTTCAACAAAATTATCATCTATCAATTCAACATTATCACCGTCAGACACTATATCAAAATCAAAGACAATCTTGCCATCTTTAAGTTCAACTTTGTCATCATCAACTAAGATATCTTCAGTAGAATCAACATCGACATCGACAGTGACAGAATCACAACCATTTCAAACTGAGAAAGTCACATCTGCGTCTACAATTACAGCAAAAATTTCTGCGGACTCCATACAATTTAAATCATCCACAGTACCGCCTTCTTCCTCATATACATCAGTCTTCAATTCAACCGAGTCTGATATAACTAGTTCAACACTTCCGAGCTCGTCTTTATCCGAATCCGAGTCATCATTGATTTCATCAACTCAAGCGGTAATACAAGAAACATCAAATGTACCATCAACAACAACTGTAACGGAGACATTAGATGTAGTCATTTGTGAACCCAATGACATCAGTATTAATATTGACAATCTGAATGTTTTGACTATTAGATCACCCCAAGATGGAAACACTGGGAGATATCCTGTAAATAAGAATTGTATTCTTAACATCGACAATCAACAGAATCTGGTTAGTTGTTCTCCAGTCTATAAAGAGATATCTTTAAATATATTTTGATATATTACTTAACTATATTAACTGTACAGTTCATGTATTAGTTTGATTTATTTTGAATTTTTGTAAACTTATAAAACTGAATCATTTCATGACTTAGTTTCGGTTAACTAAAAAGTTTATTAAAATGGGTAGGCACTTAAAACCATTAAAATTAATCAACTCCTGTAAATGGAACACTATTTTTAATTTGTAAAATATTTTTTGTAGGGCGTACATTTCGAATTTGATAAGTTCGATATAGAATATCACCCTGCATGTGCATGGGACTACCTTTTGCTAAAATATGACAACAAGCCTGCAGTTCGCATGTGTGGGAAACAAACCTCAGACATTCCAAAATCAAACGCAAATATAATTGAAATAAAATTTTGCTCGGACATGATTGTTCCTGCAACCGGCTTTGTGCTAAAATTGACCGTAAATCCACCGGTTTTACCAGAATCATCATCTGTACCAACACATTCAGTGTTACCAACGTCTTCTCTACCACAAACGCAATCATTGTTAACAACAACAGCTGTACCTAAACCGTCTTTAGGAACAACAGCATCAGTATCAGCATTTGTGCAGAGAACATCATCAGGGTCAATATCGACATCTGTTCTACCGACATCTGTTGAGTCTTCAACACCAACTATATCAAAATCACCACCTGCCCAAACAACATTATCTGTACAAGCATCATATATAACATCACCATCATCGTCCTCAACAGCAACATCAGTAACTATACCACCACCACCACCACCTCTACCACAAACTACAAAAACAAAAACAACAAAAACAGCAACAACAAAAACGCCTTTTCCAACAACATTACCTGCATTTATACAAAAATCTTCAACAACACCCGTTCGAGTACCATCGCATATACCAACTTCGGATGTACACACAACATCATCGCAATCTCCATCATCGACTTTACCAACAATATCAACGGTGCAAACGGTACAAACAAAATCAACTGTACAATCAACTTCGTCATCCTCTGTGCATACATCACCCTCATCATCTTCACCGTCAACTGTTTCGACCTTATCTAGCTCAAAACATTTAGCATCAACATTAAGCATTGATATTTGTGATTCGCAGAGAAGCATGATTGATATAAAGGATTATAAAACCATTCGAATATATTCTCCTAAAGATTCAAATGGAAACTATCCTCTAAATAAGCATTGTGCTTTAGACGTTCACAACTTACAGCAAGAGGTAATTGTGATGCACTATGTAGTTTGTACATTTCAGAATCGTTTCGAAATCCTTCCACGTTTCCATATTTATTCTTTAAAGAAAAAAGAAGAAATCTTATCCAAATATTATAAATTCTATAAAATTCTAATTTTAATATTCTATCAAAGTTTTTGCAACAAACATATGCTAGATCTCTTAGAAAGATGGAAAAATATCATTTTTGTAGGTGATTTGAAGGCTTAATTTCTTTTATATACATCTGTATTAGCTCTTTTGAATATTAAACTGATGGAAAATGAAAGAATAATGTTTAACATTGAGAGTATAACGATCTTAAACACAATTATAAACTTTTGTAGGATGTCAGCATCGAAGTATTAGAATTAGATATAGAGGAACATTCTCAATGTAATTGGGACTATCTAAGACTGTCTATCGGCGACGAACCTCCCCTCGTCTTTTGTGGCAGTAAAATACCAAACCCAGTGACGACCCAAGCAAAGAATATTGAAGTGGTCTTTCACTCGGACTTTATGATTCCTTTAAAAGGATTTATGATAAAGCTTTCAAAGCAATCAAGTAAGATTTACTATTAATTATTCAATTAAACAAAGACAAATTTAATAAGAAAATCCTCCTTTTGTTGGTATTAAATGTTATGTATTGCTCAAATTTATGAAAAAACTGTATAGTTATGATAAACATGTGGAACATTTGTTTCTTTAATATCTTACAGATTCTGACAAGACATCACAATCACCATTTCATACAACAACACTCTTAGATATAAATTCTCCTACCGAAAGTAAAACAACTGGTTTACCGACCGTATTAGAGGAAGACTTGGTTGAAGAGGAAGTTTTAGAAACACCGGACAACTCTGGTTTGGTTCATACTACTGCACATGTTACAAATATGCATACGGAATCGAGTAAATCCACAAACCAATACCAAACAACAGCAACATCAACATCAACTGAAGAACACATTGCAAAAACAGAAGATTCTTCAACTAAAGCTCAGACAGATTTTATATCATTAACTCCCATTAAAAATTTAACAATAACCACAACAGAAACTATATCATCATCAGCACCACCGCAACCAGCTACAACAGCAAAAACAACAACAGAAACAGCAACAACAAGAAAAGACTCAAGCAAACCTGTTTTCTCTTCTACACAAAAACAAGGTACTGAAAAATTGTCAAAAGAAGAGGATAAAAGTAATTTTTCTACCAAATTTGCAATGCAAGAACCATCAAGTGTTTCGCTTACAAAGCCATCGCCGAATACACCTTCAACTCAGAAACCAATTTTCTATGGCGGATCTAGTCATACAAGCTCTTTATCGACCAAACAATCAAGGAAAGTAACAAATGGTGCCCATACTACATCAAAGCCAACGACAATTTCATCAGATCAAACAACCAAACAAGCAACAAATAGTGTCCAGCTAACATCAAGTTCATCTACGATTGATACAACGCCTACATCAGCCACCAGTACAGGGTCTGTTGCCTCATCTTATCATGCCTGTTCTGCCGAAATGATGCCAGTAGTAATGAGTGGGGAATTTGGCTTCATCACGTCACCAGGATTTGGTGACGAAAATGGCTATCCACCAACATCCTTCTGCCAATGGTTTATTGAAAGAGATGAAAATAAGGTATTTTTCTTTTTTGGAAGTTGCATTTTTAAATCAAGAAGAATTTGATTTATTTTTTAAAGTTCAATTTTCTCAATTACAAAAGCAATAATGTCTGTAGAAGTGCTTAACTATTTCCCACGGAGTCAGGTCTTTTTACCCTGTCCCTGGAGCAGGAAAATTTAAATCTGATATCAATTTAGTTATATGATCACTGATATCAAATTGGTTTTTGAAACCTTAATTAACCCTGTACTATCTTTATAGGTAACCATGATAATATTTGAAGATTTCGACGTGGAAAGTACTCCTGGATGCCGCTTTGACAAAATCACATTTTATGAAATGAATGATGATGGGTCTACAAAAAAAACATTAAGAAAACTTTGTGGAAGCGATGTACCATCAACGTTATCAACCAGAAAAGATCTGCTGGTCGAGTTTCAGTCAGATTCAGTGCAACAACTTGCAGGATTCAAATTTCAGTTCATTAAAGTCGATTCAGAACCGGGTAAGACTATTCTTTCTGTCATTTTCTTAAGTCAAACAATCATGAAAAACGAAATGATGTATTTATTTAATTTATTGTCGTTATATTTTTCAGGGCCTTAATATATAAATATTTTTTAATATATATTCGAAAGGTAAGACATCTGAAAATAAAGCGACAGAATATTTTTTTTTTGAATATATTTTCGAAAGGTAGGACATCTTAAAATAAAATGAAAGAATAAATGTTTTAAATATATATATTCGAAAGGTAAGACATACACATGTCCACCGGGAAAGATTCCGTGTACGAAGGATGGGACATGTATACCTGTCGAATGGTGGTGTGACGGTACAACTGATTGTGATGATGAAACAGACGAAATTTATTGTCGTAAGTCATCTTTATCTTTTAAATTGGATTTTTTTTATTTTTTAAATTGGATTTTTTTTATTTTAAATTGGATTTTTTTTTTATTTTTTAAATTGGATTTTTTATCTTTTAAATTGGATTTTTTTTTTATTTTTTAAATTGGATTTTTTATCTTTTAAATTGTTTATTTTATTTTTTAAATTGGATTTTTTATCTTTTGAATTGGATTTGCGTAATAAAGATAATGACAATTTGACATAAAGTAGGTGTAATGTGTTTTGTCAGTTCAAAGAGGTGATGTGTGTAGGTTAATAGTAATAATGTCTCATTTTTATAGCATTTGTTCGATTTATACAAAAATGAATATCTAAAAGTGCGTCGGCTTTTAAACTTAATAAAACAAAGGCGAAGATTGTGTTCTCAAAGTAAGCCCAATGATGAATACTGATATTTGTACGTTAATGTACTATCTTTAAGGCACCTTGGAAAGATTGCAACAAACAAATTTGAATAGGCAATATTCTACCAGTCCGTCGAATCGCCAGTCGAGAACATTTTAAAACAATGCATTGCATTAAATAAAATATATTGAATTTTAGATTAATTGGATCACCCTCTCAAAATAATATTTAATTTGTGATATATATGTGATATACATTGCATATATGATATATACAAATACATTGCATATATGATATATACAAATACATTGCATATATGATATATACAAATACATTGCATATATGATATATACAAATACATTGCATATATGATATATACAAACAATGTATGCTGTACCTCTTTATTTTGTTTCTCTCTACATTATTGGAAATGTAAGATCTGCTTACTTTGCGTTTTGATTATGTGTTGTAATCATTATTTTTTTGTGAACGAGGGGCAATGCTCAAATCCGAAAAAATAAAAAATAAATATTCAAAATATTCATAATCGTCAGTGCTCTTTGCAGTGTAAAAATTATTTTCTTTGTTCACTTCACAACATTTTACTTTTTTAATACATTTTCTAAAATTTAAAGAAAATTAGCATGAATCTGGAGGCGTGCTGCTTTAAAACATTTTAATAATGCAAGTGACCTAAAACTAGTTTTGTTTTTGTGTTGTTTGTTTTTCTAGTATTTACAGTCCGATTTTAATACAATTTAAGTCATAATTCTATCTAACAGTCTTTCTTGGATAACTTATCAGTTATTATCAATTTCTCAGTTTATCAACCTTCATGATTTTTGGACAATTGACCCATTAGACTCAATGTAATTTTTGCCTCGTCTCCAGAGATTTCGGTTTAATCTTCAGACGAGGAGAGCACTGACAACCCAAGATTACCAAAAAGAGGTCAAAATTTCAAAAAAAAAATATAGCCCTTACTGTGTTAGTAACGCAGTAGAAATATGGTGAAAAATACTGCAAAATCGGCCATAAATCGCACATAACATGGATATTATTACTTTTATCTGGAGTATGTTAACTAGTCTTTAAATCTCAGTACTTTTTTCACAATTTTTATTTTCTTGAAATATTTTGCTTCATCTGGAGGCATGCAGCTTTAAAATGCAAACTTGTATGTATATCCTTTTTTCATGAATTATTTTCTTTAATAAAATGATTTTCAATTAGATTTATTTTATTTTATTTCTCCACGGTAACTGAATGTTATGAAGTGGTTATGCAAATAGTCGAATAAATAAATATATGACTGGCATCCAGGCATGCTACACTTCAAACAAAATTTAATCTCTAGTAATTTCATACACCAATAAATTATCTACTTTATTCCATAATGTAGGTGAAATGAACAAATGTCAAAATCATAAAATACTTTTATATACTTAATTTAAATGATATTTTGGGACTTTTATTCAATGTTATTTTTGGGTAGTTCTTTTGATGTTTTCAATTCACAACATCCGGATATATAATTTATTTATTAAAGAAGTAACATGACATGGCATTTTCTGTTAGATAGTGTCAATTTGTTATATAAATATGTGTATTATATCACAAATCTAATGTAACTGTAATAGTTAATTGCCTTTTCATAACATAATTATAATGATAATAATATAATAAAAAGCGGGCATGGTATATGAAGCAAATTAACAAAATTAAACATAATTAATCCTGTTTTTTGTTTGTTTTTTTTTAGTTTTTTTTTTTTAATACTGGTAATATGAAAAAAGTGCAGGCATTCCTCAGATTTATTTCAACATGTTTGTCAATGTCTATTGGTTATAACATAAGATTAGGAAACCAAGCAGATAACTTCATTGAAAATAATATAAATAGAAAAAATGTGAATACTTAAAGGAAATTATTTCAATAGAGTCGTAACAAATTTACAGCAACATGTGCAAATTAGCGCAGCAAGGCACCGCGACAAACTACTTTTGGCATGCGTTTAACATGACTAAATAAAATATATCTGTCAATAGCTTTCTTCATCAGAACATATGAATAGAAACATATCCAACAGAGCTGTTTTTATAATGACATGTTCAAAGTTGCAGTAGGGCACCGCCATGAACAACCGCCATCTGTAATATTGTAGGCATTCGTTTTGTATCACTTAATGAAATATACTTGACTATATTTTATTAAAAGGCCCATTATGCTTCAGAAATGCTTTCAATTTTATATTTCTCAAAAACTTGTTATTTCTGGTATCCCCCCCCCCCCAAAAAAAATACATATTGGCCAAATTCATTAAATATATGTTACTGATTTTGCTGTGTTGGCAATTGATATGATAATAGTGAATTAGTATTTTGTATGGAAGTCAAAATACTACTTTGTTTACATTTGCTACCTTTACGACAATCTTTTCACGTTCAGCGATACTTTCTTCAGTTTTTTAACATCTAACATGTTCTAATTCCATTATTAAAACATTACAAAACACATGTTTGACATTTGTAAAGAATTAAAAAAAAAGATTTTCTGAGGAAAAGTGTGCCTTTAACAAAACACCAAAACTTACATTTAAAATAAATTATTTCTTTCACAGAAAAGTGCGGCGATGACCAACTACAATGTGGAGACGGTACTTGTTTGGATAGGTCAAATCAATGTGATGGAACACCACAATGTTCTTATAACACGGACGAACAAGACTGTGGTAACACATAATAAAAAATTAAATTTGAGCCGCGTCATGACAAAACCAACATAAAGGGTTTGCGACCAGCATGGATCAGTCTGATCAGGATCCATGCTGTTCGCTATCAGTTTCTCTACTTGTTAAAGGGTTTGTAAGCGAACAGCATGGATCCTGATTAGACTGCGCGGATGCGCAGGCTGGTCTGGATCCATGCTGGTCGCAAACGCACTATGTTGGTTTTGTCGTGACGCGGCTATATATAAGAGAACTAGTCTTGTCAGAAAATTTGTCTTTTTTTCTTGCTTTTACACTAAGATTATGTGACACACCTACTTTTACTAATAATAATCAATTTCAAGAAAGAAAAAAGATTTTGTACTCATTATATACTTGATATGTATGCAAAAATACTTGATTAAATGAAAGATACGAAATTAAGAATACATGTAATGCATTAATTTAAATGGTATACATGGACTAATAATAAGTAAATTATTAGCTAATAATATAAGATAAATATGTTTTGTTTTATTCTAAATATCAAATACTTTTTTGGTAACTCATATTTATGTATCATATCTTTTATGATATCATAGAAGATAAAATAAGTATCATGATAAATATTTCGCATTCCCCGAGTTCGTACAAAGCGTACTACTTTGTTTAAAAAATGAAAGGGTGTTTTTTTCGACGCTCAATCTTGATGGCGATAAATCATGTTAAAATACGGTCAATTTTTTTTTATCTTGGTTTGAAAAACAGTAATCAGAGAAGAAAAGATATGATATTTTGATTTTTATTGAATCTACACGAAACATTTTTTTGAAAAAGAAAGAAAAGAGGTTGGGAGAGAAAATAAATATGACCGAAATAAACCATTCGGTGACCTTTCAAAATAGGACAACTGTATTCATAATAATATCAAGGGGCGATATTAAATTAATTTAGTTCTTTTTTAAATATCTATAAAATATATGAATAGAGTTAGTCGCAATTCAATTTGTTAAGTCGATGACACGGTAAGTAAGTATATCTCGCCTAATACAATTACCTTAGAGCAAATAGTAGCTTTACCTTTCACTTTAACCAGGGTGTTTTAAAATAATATATATGTTTGAATAGGTTTATATAGGTATGCATGGATCCCTGACCTGTCTAATTAGTGGATACAAACAACATATTTGTAAACAAAAGAGCAAACACCAAGCCTTTTGACGAGTTTTCCACAACTACCGGTATTTTTAATGAAATTCAATTTGATACTTATATTGACATTTTAAAAGCAGTTTTACGTTGTAACATTATTACTGCATTTAGTCATTTGTATATAGTGCGTGTAAATTTATAGTATTATTTATTTTGGTTCCTCCATTCAGTTTCAGTAACACAAGACGACGCGAATACGAATGTTAAAGTAAATATACAGGGAGACTGGATGCCACTGTGTCACAGTGATGTCACGGAGCAACTACAAGATAATATCTGTCAAGCTGCTGGATATAGGTATGTCATATGAGCCGCGTCATGACAAAATCAACATAGTGCGTTTGCGAACAGCATGGATCCAGACCAGCCTGCGCATCCGCGCAGTCTGATCAGGATCCATGCTGTTCGCTTACTAACTCTGTTACAAGTAAAGAAACTGATAGCTAACAGCATGGATCCTGGTCAGACTGCGCGGACGCGGAGTTACATAACCTGGAGTTTTATAAAACTTTAAGGCATAGAATGCCCCAAAATTGCTTTTTATTTTATGCTTTGATTTTAAAGTCCTAAAAAAGTAACTCATTGCATAATAACCAGATCAACCTTTCCATTCTTTAGATTTTTGGCAATTAGCACTGTTATAGCGGTCAAAATACTACTGTCTTTTTCATCGTGCTACTTTTATGCTTTTTTTTTCACATATAGCGCTACTTTCTTCAGGCACAAAGCATCTAAAAATGCTCTGAAATCATTATTTTAACGTGTCCCACTCTTTTTATAAATTGAACGTTGCAGGTAAATTCTAAATAACAGAAATTTCGTTTGAATCCGGGGGTTGTTTATTGTTTATGCGGGGTAAATTATTAAATTAAAAGGAATTATGGCAAAATGAAAATTTATTTTGACTCTCACCTCTTCACTCACTATATACCTTTAGATGGGCACAATGTCACTTTAATAATAAAATCAAAGTATTTATAAATACATGCCGAATATGATTTTGTTATGAAAGATGAACACATCAATAATCGTATGATAGTGTATAGAGGATATTCACGTTTTTTTTTCTATAAATACAGGATTTATTGTCATCGAGTGGTGTGATGATGAAATATGATATTTTTCATACATCATGAAAAAAAATCCTGTATTTATAGAAAGAACTTGAATTTTCTGTTTATTATACATGTATATATTTTTCTCTTTGTTTGACATAACAATTTTAAAGACTTCCCCTTAAAATTATGTGTTTTGGTTGAATTTAGAAGAAGTCCGGCAAGACACCAGCGAAAATACGGAAAATATATTTCACTGTAGCGAAAAATATTTTTTACAGTGAAAATGCAGAAAATGAAAATACACATTTTCTGTCATAAATTTTCTCAATATTTTATTTGTAAGGTTATATAATAAATTTAAATATATCCTAGATTTGCATAGTCATTTAAGTAAGCCATTAGAAATGTTTTATTGCTGCGTATGACTATTACATTGCTTTATGACGAATCTTTAATTTCTATAATTTTAGGTCGGCTAAACAGTTGTTTAGTGAAAAAATTCAAAATCAGCATTACTATTCGATGGCTAAATTAGTGTCGGGACAGCTGAGCTTTAACAAAAGGTATTTTTCAAATTCATACTGTACAGGATTGGTGCATATGAAAGGCTTGTGGTTAAATACTCAAGTTAATTCTTCATTTTTTTGTCTGTACATATCTTAGGATTGACTTTACAAATACCATTTTAGCTTCTATTTTTACCTAACGATACTTTAAAACAAAAATTAAAGTTAAACTATTCATGTAAAGTTGATGGTGTGACATTCAAAACAATTCAAAAGAGCTATTACTTCTGCTTTATTAATCTTTAAAATAGACAGGTTGGGGTGACTATAAACCATAACGCTTTAAATTTGCCTTTAATGACCATAAATATAAAAGGCTTTGTTGATCTTTTTATGATGATGTAAAGAAGCGTATGATTTTATTTTGTAGTTTAGTATGTCAAAGTCATGATGTGGTTCGTCTGCAATGCTCAGGGTCAGGTAAGAACAAAGGTTTATCATGAGACATAATTATCGTCCAATTATCTACGGAACTGTTTTTTGTTGAATGAGTTTAATATTCAGTTTATTCAATGCTACGGCGGCAATTTGCAGTTAATAAAGCAAAGCAGTTTAAATTTAGATGTGACCGCAGTGTACTTTCACGCCAGATAATTTCCTTATTTTTGACCTACAACATTTTTAGTACAACATTTCGCAATCGACGTTTTTGTATCCAAAATTTGTAAAGTTTAAATTATTAATTCTTTAACAAATATAATAAGATGTTGTGTCTGATAGTATAAAGCGTAATGGAAGTTGTGGTCTAGTATCTGCCTCTAAACTCACTGGTCGTGGGTTCGAGCCACGACGATGTTTCGTCATTTTACATCAGTCCTGTTAAGTGCCCCTAATCTGACTCAATATTTGTTCAAGTATGTTGAAATAACCTTCAAGTTTTCTTCACAATCAAGCTATAATAAATATGTATTAACTAAACTTATAGTACAAAGTGGGCCTTAACGCTAGGTTTCGTATACATGGATAGTTTCAAACGTCTCGTAGCTAAATTCGTAAACATGGATAGTTTCCAATGTTTCGTAGCAAGATTTTGTATACATAGATAGTTTCCAACGTCTCGTAGCTAAATTTGGTATACATGGATAGTTTCCAACGTCTTGTAGCTAAATTTGGTATATATGGATAGTTTCCAGCGTCTCGTAGCTAAATTTGGTATACATGTACTTGAATAGTTAGCTAGATTTGGTATACATGGATAGTTTCCAACGTCTCGTAGCTAGATTTGGTATACATGTACATGGATAGTTAGCTAGATTTGGTATACATGGATAGTTTCCAACGTCTCGTAGCTAGATTTGGTATACATGTACATGGATAGTTAGCTAGATTTGGTATACATGGATAGTTTTCAACGTCTCGTAGCTAGATTTGGTATACATGTACATGGATAGTTAGCTAGATTTGGTATACATGGATAGTTTCCAACTTCTCATAGCTATATGAATGGCGGCGTGGCCGAGAGGTTAACGCTTGGGACTAGTAATCTAAGGATTGCTGACCGCGTGGGTTCAAACCCTGTCAGGGGCAAACCGTTGTTTCCTTGAGCAAGAAACTTTACATTCATTGCTTAGTACTGGTTGGTTCCAGGAACGGATTCGAGAGTGTTTCAATAAGCTTATAGCTTCCAACACAATCGAACTAAAATAAATTTGTATAAACTAACTTCTCATAGCTAGATTTGGTATACATGTACATGGATAGTTAGCTAGATTTGGTATACATGTACATGGATAGTTAGCTAGATTTGGTATACATGGATAGTTTCCAACTTCTCATAGCTAGATTTGGTATACATGTACATGGATAGTTAGCTAGATTTGGTATACATGGTTAGTTTCCAACTTCTCGTAGCTAGATTTCGTATACGCAGATAGTTTTCAACATCTTGTAAATAGTTCAAACATGTCAAATATACTAATATCCAGTTTGCATTATCAAAATAAATGTATATTTTTTAGATTGTGGACGTAAAGGAGACCATGTCCGAAAGAAAAGAATCATAGGAGGGTCAGTATCAAGTAAAGGGGAGTGGCCATGGAGTGTGGTTCTCCGAGCAGGCAACACCCCAATATGTGGAGGATCCATAATAGACAACATGTGGATAATAACTGCCGGACATTGTGTGAAAGAGTAAGCTGACTATGTATAACAATTTTATATGACATTCTAACCGGTGTTAGTCGTTTAAAGCGGCTATTGAGCTAAAATTGTTTTCTTACCCTAAATATCAGCCCTGTCAGTTTACATAACTTGCGTATTAAATAATAAGCCCCCATTTTAAATTTGAACCATCTTTAAACATTCCTGTACTATTGTGTAGTATTATCATGTTATGCATTGTAGAGCCTTCGTGTTCTGTACTATCGCGGTCTACATTATTGTGTTCTGTACTATCGCGGTCTGCATTATTGTGTTCTGCACTATCGTGGTCTAAATTATTGTGTTCTGTACTATCGCGGTCTACATTATTGTGTGCTGTACTTTCATGGTCTACATTATTGTGTTCTGTATTATCGTGGTATACATTATTGTGTTCTGTACTATCGTGGTCTACATTATTGTGTTCTGTACAATCATGGTCTATATTTTTGTGTTCTGTACTATCATGGTCTATATTATTGTGTTTTGTACTATCGTATTATGCACTATTGTGTTCTGTACTATCGTGCATTGTAATACATGTATCGTGCTCTAAACTGTTGTGTTGTGTTCTATTGTATTATGTACTGTATTGATCTATACTATCGTGTTATGTAAAGAATATTATGTTCCATTGTGTTCTATATAACGGGTGCAGTTACAAGTCTATCTGAAATGATATATATTTGTTTTTCAGTTTGGTTGACAATCCCCAGATTTTATCTGTTATTACTGGTGTAAGCGACATTAATGATTTAGACCGTCAATTTCGTTATGTTTCGGAAGTTCTGCTACATCCAGAATATCACTTTATCTTCAATGCAGACATTGCACTGCTGCGTCTACAACAACCTCTTGTATTTGATAATAATACTCAAACAATATGTCTTCCGTGGGACAAAAGACAATTCTCTCCATCAGATTTATGTTATATCACTGGATTTGGGGTGTCCGACATGAAAGGTATGCTGTTATGTAACAAATCTTTGCTATGTTCAGAATTTAAAATTTATTTAGTTAGTCTGCTACACCTGAAGTAAATGCAACAACAATTTTATTACAGATATTTGGACTCAGAAAACGTTTGATATTTATGATATATGTCGCTTTATTTCTTTGAAATATAGATGATTTAAAGGGAAATTTGATATGACTTGGTTAACGCATTTAAATCAATGTATGATCAACCAATTATTTAATCATATAACTTTAATCATAAACTTTTATTTACTTATTTCAAATGCATCACATATTTTATAACTTTGCAAAAGAATGTAACATGTTGGCTCAGTCATTGTAATAATTACGTAAAATATGATTAGGGCGGTTTTGATTTTTTTAATTAATTTCTTTGTAATTTTGTATATTAAATTGATTTAACCTCGGGGATTTTTTGTAATGAATGAAATCAATATATGATCCTTTATGTTTTTAATTACATAATTATAAGTAATACATAGAGGATATTTGTTTGTTTTGCATGTAAGATTGAAATATAATTTCACTGAGTGAACACCAGATGCAATATTTTCACGAGTGGCGTAGCCACGAGTGAAAATATAATAGCTGGTGTTCACGAATGAAATATATTTCAATCTTATATGTAAAACAAATAAATTTTCTTTTTATTTCATGCTTTTTAAGTGATTTTAAGTATTTTTCACTGACTTTGCCGCGTAACGTCGCGCATTCTCCTTTGTGACGTCATCACATCATGACGTCACATCATCAATTTTGATATATAGTTCTGTTAAATTTCTCTAATTTTGTTACATTTTTAACATGATGACATCGACTTTCTTTTCCTAATGAATCACAATTTACGTATGACGGCATTTATTTCTGCCTGTTATTCCATTTAGTTATGATTTTCTTTTCATCCGCATTCGGATATAGTCCGGCTACAGTGAAAATTATATTTTATAAATTTCACTAACGTTAGTGGTTTATCAGAATATAATCATCTGATATATTTCAATAAAACACTGGAAAGCATGAAATAAAATATAATTATATATCTTAAAGTCTATTTAGTTATGCTAATACATCAGGAGTTGGAACACTAAACTAATTGACGTCTAAGCTGGCTAGTTTCGGCCATTTTAGCCGTTTAAATATGTATGTCCTCGTAAGACTTCTACATTTCTTCTAATGGAATATACGTTTTAATATGACAGTTTGTTTAAAACAGTATTATGTACAGAGAAAATTATGTACAGAAAACATTAATTTTATGGCGTATTTGTAGCATATTACTTACATGTATGAAATATAGACGTAGGGGTCCGGTTATATTATGGATTTGACACGAAAGTGTAAGCTAGGAATATATATTGTAATTGTCCGATTCCGTATTTGTAGGCAACCGTCCGGTTAGCTCAATAGGTAGAGCGTTGGACTGTGAATCGGGCTACCCGGGTTCGATTCCAGCACGTTGTAGGTCACTTTCGTTGTGATTGATCATGAAATCCTTTTATGGATATTCGCACTGCATCTCTGCTTTTGCATGTACAGAATTAATCAGTTCCTTGCGAAAGTGAAGGCAACTGGTACTGGTAAACTGCTTGACAACCTGCCAAGGAACGATGCGGTGGTTGAACTGTGCTCTGGTGAATTCAATGTGGCTTACTGTCGTGACCCGGAATAAAAACTAACACCACCACCATATTTGTAGTATATTACTGTATAAAAATATTCACACAGGGGTCTATTCCAGGAGATTACGAACAAAGCTTTCTTCATCACATTTTGAATTACGAAAGCATTGTTCTTTTAGTCAATGCTGACACCGGCATAATTAATTAAGTTATGCAAAGTTCAAGGTCATGTTTTTATTTCTTGCAGATTATTACACAACTGTTATGCCGAGGTACCTCAGGCACGTGAAGACTAAAATTGTTGACCTGGAGAAATGTAAAGCGATTTATTCGACCCGATTTTCTAGCAGGGAAAGGATAAAAGATAACATGTTATGTGCTGGATATGCAAGTGGGGGAATTGACTCTTGTAAGGTAAAAACTTAAGGGCAGCGGTGAGTGGTTAAGGTGTCTGCCTCTCAACCCAGAGATCATGGGTTCGATCCCTACGCGGGTCACGACCATGGATTAAAGGGAGAATGAGTCATAAATCACACGTACATACAATATAGAATTACTGGTACATAAAAATATTTATCATGACTTGAAAGAATATAATTATGTTATATCTTTATAAAATACATAATTTTTAACATTTCAGTTTGCAGTCAATTGGACTTGAAAATCTCTGTCTGAGAATATTAAAGAAATAACAAATACTCTTTGATTTTAATCTGGTCATATAATTATAAATTGCGGTAAGAATGTATAAATATATTAATATTTAAAAAAGATGTATACAGAGCAAAGATTATGTCAATTGTCCATTAATATGAGATATTCACATATCCATAACAATTTAATTTATCGAAGTTTTTTTTTTTAATAACTGCCACAAATTGTGTGAAACTCAATTCCCATAACCAAAAAACTTGCCTATATATGAATGTTGATTTATAAATAGATTACATATACATTTTTTATTCATCTTTACATTAAGCTTTTAAGGTACAGTTATTTGTTGGTATTAATTCACATGCCTTTGATACATTTATAGTGATTAGAAATGTAATGTTAAATGTAATGTTAGCCCCAAAATGAACCTGTGATCTTTGATTTAGAAAAAAGTCTCGAACTTAGGTACAAGTACACGTTCAGCTGTATTTAACCCTAAACCGTCTGGTGACAACTTAACAAATACATACAACCAGTGTAGACCAAGATCAACCACCGCAACCTTGTCGTCTGCACTTTTCGCTATTCGTTCAGTATATTTAATCTTGAAATTTTCCCTAAAAATGATTAATAGTTTTGTCCAGATTGAAAGATGGGTGAGTATATTTAGCAAGGTAAGGTTTAATTAGGATTAATTACAATTAGTTGCATTTATCAATTTATTTATTAGTGTTGTAAATGTAGAATAATGAAAGTTAACAAAAGAGTACAGCATGATATGTACCACAACAAAGTTTCTGTCAAACATTATACGAGATGTTTCATATTCAGTGCATTTCTTTCAGATACTTGCCAATGCCATTATACACCTTAACATAAAATATTATTCACTAGCCATTAATTAAATAGACCGCTCTAATTCAAATATTGAACGATGGTTTGTATTTATTTTGGTGACTAAAAATCACAAATATGCAATTTGAGCATTTTTTCCCTAACATACTTTACAAATAGCATTCAATGAGGAACAAACAAATCTCAAATGTTGACGCCAAACGAAAAGAAAAGAACGTTTTATCTAATTATTCAACCTCGCTTTTCGAACATATTGCGTTTATTATAAAGAATTTTTCAGAATTTTATACAAAATTTAACATAAATAAATTTCAAATTAACATTGACGATTTTTTATCATGGCGTAATCAGTTCAGTGAAATTATCATCAAATTGATTTAAAAGATAGCATTGCTAAATAGGACGCGCTTTGAAAATAAAATGCAAAATACTTGCACATGCCAAGATATCTTCTTTTCTTTAAAAAAAAAAAAAAGATATAGCAAAATTATTTACAGGCAGTTGCTTCCTTTCAGAAACTTTATGGTAAATTAAACAACAAGTGCTTCCATTGAAATACAAATAATTTAAATATATGGAAAGAATAAAAGAATCGGGACATATTATCGCGAAAGTCAGTAGTCTTTCTGAGTACGACCTTTCAGTAAACAAAATAAATGGACCATATACAGTATATCATAATCAGATTTCACAACAGGGATTTCTATCTTTGGATAGTATCATAGTTTGGGGACCTTTCTGTTGAAAATATGTCAGAGTTAAATCGTATACATATACATGCACAGTGCTGGAGTGCAGGTATTAGTTACCCGCACTCCAGAGCATGCCCACTGATTGGCTCATTTTTGCTGGGGTTTACATATTGTGACGGCAGAGAAAGGGGAAGCGTCAAAAATATCATATTCAGGTGTTCGTTCATTGGTTCCTTTTGCCGGGGTTTCATATTGTGACAACAGGAACGTGTTTTTATTTTTGACTATGATACAAAAGAGACACTCGGCAATCTGATTATACTCGGGGGCTACGCCCCCTCGTACAAATCAGATAGCCTCGTGTTTCGATGCTCTTTCTGTTACATAGTTTCAAATTATTGCAAGCAAACCATAATTTAAAGGAACGACAACCTGTCACGATTTTTAGCATTGTTTCAGTACAGTTATCCCCCTGTATTGTTTATTAAAAATTACTTTTTTCTTTTTTAAAGGGTAGAACATTTATGTTCTCTATTTAAAATACTTCATTTGAATAGGAGGTTGTATTGATTGTTGCACGGGAAACATAAATAGGCACGAATAATTTGTGAATAGTTAAGCACGTTTTCAACATAAATTGCAAGTTGTTACTTTATATGTTTTCTTTGTTCTATTTACAGGGTGACTCCGGCGGAGGACTGATGTGCCGTACAGCAGACGACCGTTGGTCGCTGGCGGGCGTGGTTAGTTGGGGAGATATGTGCGGTAGTAAAAATCGCCCGGGGGTCTACACAAATGTTGCCTTCTTCTTAGACTGGGTCGCCAACACAACGAACCCGAAGAGTTAGTGTGACGATAATTTTTGAATTTATATTAATTTTAAGAGATCAGTTCTATGATAATGTATTAACCCTGAATTTGCTGAATTTGTATAATTGATTTGCCCTACTTGAACTTAAACAACTTGTAATTTATTCAAAGATTAAAGGAATATATGGAAAGTTAAAAAGAATTGAGCAACCAACCGTTAAGAAACTGGAAGAACTGTACGTTATGTGCAGGCTGGCATGACTGTCTAACGGTGGCAAAGGCAAATGACTACCGGTTTCATCATGTTAAGGGTTAACCAAATGAATTATTTGCCGGAGTTAATTAAAAAATACATTAAAAAAATATATAGTTAATGGTCTTCTGTCGTTGGTATAGTATTTCGTTGAAGAATTTTTGTTATTTTTTAAAAATTTGAAATTTGAAAAGTACATGTGTTGATTTTTGTCTTTTGATCGTTTGATGTAACGTAATTTTGATAAAGACGATGTCACTATAATACACGTAAATCCGGAAACTGTAGTTTCTTTAGTTATCTAAACATTTAGAATATTTCAAATTAATTTTCTTGCTTCAAATGTGACGATGTTCCAGTTGTTGGAAAAAATGTTATAAAAAGTATTATACAACATAACATAAAAATTCCTGCCGTGACGATAAGAAAGAGATATATTGTGCTTTGGTACCAATCTCCTACGCAGTGATCTCCCCTTATCAGTACAGAGCTGCAAGGGAGGTAATCACTGTTAGGGGTTTACTCTGTTGTAATGTAACACTAGAAACACACATGCCGAAGGTAGCTGTAAATGAAAATTTGATTCATTTGATGAAAAAAGTTTATTCAACGTATCTAATTTGTCAAACTAATTCAACTAATTGTTTTCTGTATTATTGACACTCATAATATATCTATATCAGGCGTGAGGAACGTGACATGTGACTTCGAAGACAACGGTTGGTGTGGTTACACTGATTTATCAACCGGAAATTACGTCTGGACAAGGAAACCTGGTGATAAATACATAAAAGGTAGCTTTTTTTATTCAAGGTACAAATCATTCCAAGATATCAAACTAATTTTACATATTAGAGTATATTTTAGTAAAAAACATTACCTTGTTGTGGTGAAATGTTGATTTTGTTTGAATTTTTGTCACAACGACAATATCATAATGAGTTTTATGGTGACGAAAGACCGGTCGTTGAAAACTATGTTACAAGCGCGTACAAGGCACAGAAACATACGTGAGCATGGTTCAGTTGCTTCAGAGATATTTTCCATCCAGGGTATAAAACGCAAAGGGTTAAAAATATAAATTACATATATTATTACCACATATTGGTCAACGCCTTTTTGTTATCTGAAAAAAAAAGAAAATAAAATCCTTCAAATTAACTTTTTGTAGGCACTATATTATATGCAACTAAAACATCGTCGGCAAGCAACAAGAACGAACCACTGACCGCTGCTCTACAGACACCAATGTTTAATACGGACAGAGATGGCTGCCTATCATTTTCGTTCATGTTTAGTGGCAATTCAAATATCACACTCTCGGTATTTGGAGTAGAGAAAAGTGACGGTCAGGGAACAAGCAAGGAACTTCTTTGGAGATTCACAAGTCATTATCCGGCGAAAGATTCCTGGAAATCCACGGAGGTCACAGTACCTGCTCAATATAATAATATAAGATTTGAATCATTGAGTGAAAATGGTGGCATTGTTGGTCTAGGACTTGACAATGTTTCTATGTCAGTTGGACAATGCGCTGGTAGGTATTTAGATTCTTTCGTCTGTTCTGTATTCTAAGTAGATACTTGTATAGTTTATATTATATCATAATTCAGTTAATTTAATTTAAAGTGTGTTTTGACGTGTTACTTAAGTCCATTCATAATGCCTAGGTCACAAATAAAACGGGCGCCGTCCGATTAAACGATTTTTATAAAATTGGCAGATTTTTAGATGTCGTGGACGCCGGGCGATTTTAAATCTGATACCTTGCGTAGTCATGAATGGAACAGTCGTCGGGCGATTTTTTGCTAAGTGGATTTTACAGAAAGAATTGAACGGATCAGGCGGTCGCCGCCCGATGTCCGTACGGCGCCTGTGCGATTTAAAAGTGAATCGGACGGTTGCCGCGCGGGCGCCGGGCGACAATGACTTTACATTGAATTGCATCCTAGATAAATCAGCCAGTTGTAATTATGCCAGCAAAGAAGTCAGCTGCCAAAGCCAAGGGGAAGACCAAGGAGTTGGTCCGTGTTTAGAAGGCGAAAAATCAATCTGACATTCGCATTGCATTTGAGAAAATTTCATGTAACACAGTATTAAAAGAAATTCACAATATTTATTTTTGAGGCAATTAAACCTTCTTAACTGAAATTAGACAAACACAAGCAGCGTCGCAATGCAACAAACAGAACCCTGCGTGCCTGTACCATGAATCGACGAGTGGACGCTTATAATCGTTTGATACTTGTTAGTATTCAGTACACTCTCGGTGGAGTGGAGACGCGACTCAGGACGCTGCATGAATTCTTTTGGGAGTGACGCCATAAAATATTCCGGCCCGGGTCAGCTTCTAAGTATTACTTAAAATCAGAGGACGCGATTGAGCAAATTCGCAGTTGGCTGCCGTACGGATAGTCATGCCGTGACAACGTAGATATTGATTTTTTGAGAACATAATTCACGGTGACATTTATTGATTTTGTGACTAGTCATTAAAGCCAGAGACCTTTTTATGCTTATATAAATTTAAATTATGAACTGTTTTGATTTTTGAATAATGGGCTAATTAACAAGGTTATCTGTATATTTAACTGTAAACTTGTTAAAGATTTTTTTAATTTCTATTTCACAGGCTCGGAATTTCTGACGTGCACGTTCAATGATGGGAACACGTGCAATTACGAACAGTACACAGGTCATAATTCAAAGCCCTGGTCTTTTTCAGCGGACAGTATGGTGGCATTAATGCACTCTGAACAAGGTTTTTTTCTTTACGATAACTTAACATCACATCTCCGGTGCCCTTTTTTATTTTTGATATTCAAGATGTAAGTAACTTTTAAGGCCTTAGACATGTCTTTTACAAATATTGGACCCCTGTAGCAAGTTATTTCGTGTATAATTTAAAATATTTGAACACATTTTCAAGCCATTTCAGCCGCGTCATGACAAAACAAACATTGTGCGTTTGCGACCAGCATGGATCCAGACCAGCCTGCGCATCCGCGCAGTCTGATCAGGATACATGCTGTTCGCTATCAGTTTCTCTACTTGTCATAGGGTTGGTTAGCGAATAGCATGAATCCTGATCAGACTGCGCTATTACACTATTTTATAATTTTTATTTCAGATCTATTCATAAAAGCAGGTGGCGACTTGCAAACATTTGGTTACCCTGCCATGTCTAAATTGATTTCACCTAAATTAACACACGAATTCACTTCCATCCCTCACTGTGTGACTTTCCATTTTAAAAAGTTAACGCAGACGACACATGAACTTGTTGTTGGTACATATATAGCTTTTGGCGCGCAATTAATAAACCCGGTTGTATTTTGGAGCTCGGAAAACGTAGAGACAAATAAGTGGTTACACGTCACTACACCAATACATCATGGGGTGTATGATCACATCTTCTTTGAAGTCAAAAGGGAGACATATACAAATGAAAGGATAGAAGTTTTCCTGGACGACATTCGTGTGACAGATGGTTTATGTGTTAATTGAATATCTATTCCAAAATAAATGATGAAAATGACTAGTCAGCTCGTTGCCTCAAATAGCAAGCAGCCTTTTTGCCCTCGACAAATTCCGAGAAAGCAACACATGTGCATTTCAGTTATTTGTTTCCAAACTCATCTCAAAATTTAAGAAAAATGTTGTCTATGAAATATTGATATTTCTAGGTCCTCAACTTGTCCTGATTACGAAATGGATCTGTTGAGCCAACAACAGAAATTTCGGCACAAAATTAAACTTAAAATTTGAGATTTTTTCACATGAAACTGGATTACCTAACAAGTATTGAACTATTTATTATCTCGTATCTTAAACAAGTATACCACAACGTGTTTTTCTTTTGCAATTTCTGAAACCAATCATTTTACAGTTGGTCTCAGTATTTCTTATTTGATTATTCAAAGATAGTGCACGTTTCGGACATTGATTTGTCAGCCATCTAAAATAAAACTCTCCAACTAATGTCGTTTAGGGTCTTAGACTTTACAACATAACCCATAAAGTTTTCAAGCATTTATGCCCATGTTCTATATTTGATATTTGTATTAAGGGGATCTATATATTCTGACTATATTTATGTTGTTGCAAAATACAGCTTTAAAATGTTGTAAATTGTATTAAAAACTAAAGCTTTTATGGTAGACTTTTTAAACTGTTAATACACATAGTGTTATCCTATTTACATGTAGATATTGTTACTGCATTTATATTTTTATGTGTTTTATTTATACATATACAATTAATTTGAAACCATTATCCCTTGCTAATAGTATATGGACTGTAAGCGATTGTTTTTAATGTGTTTATTCATTTATATTTATATCCAAAAATGGGGGTAGCAAAGAATTTGATATTTTAAATGAGTATTAACTCGAATGATACGTAAGGGTAGACTTTTTAAACGAAAAGACAGAAGGTATTTATAAAACCAAAAAGACTGAAATTATTAATAACGAAACGTAGTTATAATACCGAAAAGGCAGAGAGAAGTCTTAAAAAGTGTTTTGATGTGATTTTTTAATCCAATAAATTATTGTTAGGACTTTCTGATAAAATTTGGTACACTTGGGACTAATTTATTGTCTACCTTTATTTACATGTATATCTATTTTATTGTTTCTCATTCAAAATGTGAACTGTAAAGACTATTCTATAATTAGTTCCTAGAATTTTACGTTAAACGTTGTATTTTAAAGAAGTAGTACATTCTTTTAAGTCACCAGCCATTTGTGATATTTGTTTGAAACTAGACCTATTTATGTATATATGTTTGTGTGTGCCAAAAACTGCTTTTATCCAAGAAAAAATTATGCTATTTTGCACTTACTATTTATGCTTTAATATATATTGATGTGGTATTTAGCAAGTAGTTCATTATATACAGTATTCATGGTTGTTACCATATATTATAATTATAGCAAAGCATAACTTATATTATATAGTAAGCAACCGTTTATACCCAGCCATTCAGTATGTTTAAATCATTATTACGAGTTTAAAATACTACACATTTGCTTGCTTGATTTGATTTAAAAAAGAAAATTAATTCATAAATTTGCAGCAGCATTGTATATCAAAAATATTAGCGTCACGGTTATCCAATGTAAATCGGCGTAACAAATACCAATATTATAATGCAACACGTCGAGTACAGATTGTACTATTTTACTGGATAGAAAAGTAAAATGGCGATGAACGCGAATAAAAGTAAATATGTATGAATGATATAATTGTAAATAAAAATATAAGTATAGATGATTTATGCTCAACCGATTTATGCTCATAATGGAACGCTCATTTTTAATGTCTCTCATATTGTTTTTTTATGAATATATAAACTATATGTTTTGTTAGATAATTGTTACAGTGTACCTATATATTTTATACTAACATTTTTAAATTTGTAGAGCACTTTAATGAGATATGTTTGTTATGTTTGTTTCTAATTATATTTGAAATTGTTGACGGGTACTTCATACATGTATATGAATTGTAATTGTGATTTCATATAAGAAGAGCTTACATATTCGTATGTCATATGTTTCTAATATAACAAAATAAAAAAAAAATAACAGTTCACCTTGTTGTAAATATTCGATGTTGGACCAAAAACAAAACAGAGATTAAAACAGAAGCACGATGTTTTGTTTTGTCCTGCGTGTGATACTGCGTGTTCCCCTAATATTACATGTACGCTACAAAAAAAGAAAAAATAACATCAAAACATATAAAAAAAGTTATATTCACGTGTTGTGGTTGATTTTGTCCTATCCTAAATTGCTTCCTTTAATGAATATATGTAATAATTGCAAAACCGATATGTGAAAAACTGAATAATCTTTAATTAATTAGTGAAATTAACGCTGATATTATATTAAATCGTCTTTTAACTTTACCAGTGGCTTTATTGAAATTGAATCATATGAATTCAAGGAAACAATTGCACACTATCTAAAGGAATAATATCGGGGTTTGACTGCAAAACTCACGTTACTTATATGAAATAAAGAGGGACTTTAAACAGTTTTGCGGTCAATCCTCGTGAACTGCTTCGTGTATACGGTTGACATTTGTCTTTTTACTATCATTGCAGTAAAGGTCAATTATTTTTTCCATATAATTTTGTTTTTTCATCATTTTAAAAAAAGCAAACTTATATACATGTGTATAGTTATATGAAGATTAATAGAGAAATAATTATATTAATTAATGTTGGACTTTCTTCATCACGTATCGGTTCTAGTAATAGCTCTTTTGATAGTTACCTTTTGCAGAATCGATCATAAAAACAGACGCTGTCCGTCAAGTTAATTAAGTTAGATGAACAATTAGCGAAAGATCAATTTCTCAAACATTTCTCTGGTACTGCCTTAATATTGAATTAGATTATAGGGTTGGCGTTCAACACGCAAAAATGATGAACGACGTGACGGCGCCAATAGTCAACACGCGTGGTTTGGAATAAATAGATTATCTTTTGGTTTATGAAAGTCATGCTAATAAAGATGGAAAAATAGTTACTTCCGAGGAAAGGAAAATGCCTATTTAACACTTTGTATCGGTGCGGTAATATTACTGCAAATGATTTAATGAAAAAAGTATGAAATAATAATAATAATAATAATAATTATAATAATAATAATGATGATGATGATGATTATGATGATGATGATGATGATAATAAAAAATAATTATAAATTGTTTGTTTAGATTTCCCAAATGATATTGTCAATGCATATATAAGGCGATCACAACATATTTTGATATCAAACGGTTATAAATTTATAAAAAAATAAAGTGTTTTATATGTTAATCTTAATTTATCTATATTTACTAGTACAATAAATTATTATAAAAACACGGTTTCACCGTTTTCATTTTCCTATCTTAAAATTTAAGAAATAAATGATGTTAAAGGGAGAAAAGTTCAGAAAACATATTCCAAGTTTTGCAAAAGATTATGAAAGTACTACAAAAACCCACCCATCTTTATCATTATAATTATGAAACTTACTGATAGTAAACAGAAAAGTGTCTAATTGCATTTGTAAAGAAACACGTCGTTCATAGCCATTTTTCTTTAAAATCATCGTTGACAACTAACTGGCAAATTCTTTACATCTTCTAGGAATAATTAGTAGAATATTTTATTTCTCGGTGCCATCTGCTTTCTGATGAGTAATGGTTAACCCGAGTGCCAGAAGAAATAGGAATATCCTTTTCAGATATAAAAAGTGGTACCGAGAGCAGGTGCTCTTTGTAAATTAATCAGTCATGTAATACATCAAAAAGATTGTTCAACTTTTCTGATATAAAATGAAATTAAATCTACTGTTAATGAGCTTCTTTTGAATTTTGCCGAACAATATATTTAAATCAAATATATAATTAGAGTTGGTCTACAAGACATTGGAAAATCTGAAGAAGCGAGGATATATTTTATCTAGTATTTCAATTGTTAACTGTTCTGCCGAACAGCTTTTACATTCTATATGTTACTGTTTGCATAGTCAAAACCTTGGTTATATATTATAAAATTATCATCTGAATAAACTTCAACATGATGCAATCTGAAATTTTATCTTTAATTTGTCAGCTATTGAACTGAGGTTGATTTCATCGATTGCGAGTTTAAAGCGAGTTGGTCTATAATGACTGGCTGCAATGCCAGTGAAATTATGTTTGTTTGTTTGGATTGGTTTTACGGCGCACCAACACAATTAAGGCCAAATGGCGCCGAAACAGGAAAGATGATTTTGGCTAACCTCGGTTGTTACATCAGGGGTCATAACCACCTCACCTTTTGGAGCTAAGAGAGGCATAGACTCTAGTATTTCAAATCTATTTAGTCGCCTCTTACGATCACGCAGGGATAAACGGTGGTTGCTGATACCCCAACCTTTACAGGAAAGCCCTGAGGGGCTAACATTATGTTGATGGTAACAAACCACGAAAGACAAATATGATGTAGCCGTTGGCACGGGGGAGGAAGTGTTACACGAAGGATGGAGTTCTTATGATAACTTGTTTGGAGTTCCTATGAATAACTGTCACGGAGTTCCTGGAAAACCGTTACGGATTTTCTGTGGAAAACTTTTCTATATACTTGGAGAACTCGCGTAAAAATGGTTATTTTTTTTAACTTTAAATGGGGAGTTTGAGGTGCTAAATTTTAACTATGATAATTAAGCTTTGCCCAACATATTGTATTATGTTTTTGGTTTTTTTTTCAGAAAAATATTTTAGTCCATTTTCGTCGCCTTTTTAAAAAAAATCTGGTAGTTTTGAGAAAAATGACCATATTTCTTGCTAATTCGTACATATTGACCTTTTCATTTGTGATCTTCTTCGTTGCTATACATAATCACCTAATTATAGCGGAGAGTTGCAAACATAAAGCCCGGACTAATAAATGTATACCCGATTTTTCAAATGTTACGGAGTTCTTGCGATAACTCAAAATATGTCCTGGAGTTCTTATGATAACTTTTGTTACTGTCAGTGTGTTTTTGTGCTTAATCACGGCACGTTTTAGTCAATAAGTGTGTAAATCATTATGAAGCATAGTACGCTTTATCATTTGCAGCAAAAAATTTGGTTATATAACGTTGGTTTTGATCGTGTTTTTAGTTCCTAATTAAATTTTGTGCGAAATCATATTTGACATTATAAACCCAACGAATGCACTAAATGTTTCTGTGTATACTGTTCGTCAACAAAAGTTTTTATGTCGATAAGTTTCCGCAAATGCAACATTGAGGCCCATGTGGCAAAATTAAAACACGATCATTCAATATATCTGGAGAAGACGATGAAACTGCTTTGGTGTACAGTCTACATAGGATAAACAGGTGCTAAGCTATCTTCAGGAACCGTGGTCGAGGGGTTTGAGTCGATGACTTCTAATCCAGTTACCTCTCTGTCGTGGGTTCGATCCCCGGGAGATGCCTTGGTAGTTTAGCACTGAGGAAGGTAGTATAGTACTGGTGTAACTCTTCAGGAACGATGGTTAGGATACTACCCGCCCGTATGACTGAAATACTGTTGGGAAAAGGCGTAAAATGAAACAAACAAGCAAACAAAAATCTTCAGGAAAACCTGAATCAAAACCTGGAAAAATTGTTTAAAACTTACACTTTTTTCTCAGTTATATGTTTTAAGCAACCGCCTTTCTACAGCAGACAATAAGTAGTTGGGCTTCCCTCAAGAAGCGGCTAAGTAAATTGTATCATTATATACCATGTAACTCTTCACACCTATGCACCCGAAATGTATGATCTTTTTATGCATAAAAAAATAACCGATTACCACCGATCTCTTCGACAGATTTGCACGTACCCTACGGGTTCGAGCGAAAGAAGTTCGAAAAATGTATGCAGTAATTTTCCGAAATATGGAGATTGCTGTACGTCACGTGATGCTACATATTGGATTTAATAGAGAAAGGAACAAGGTCGATAAACGGCATGAACCTTACGGTTACTCACATATCTTATTGTAGACTTACTTTCTATCGTCATATCATGGTCATAGAACTTTATTACGTTTCTATGACAAAAACTGAATACCTTTTAGAAATTGAAAATACCCGTTGAATACATAAAGACGACACCCACCTCATTAAATGTAGATAAAGGGTAGTGCATACTACCTCCTATTTTGCTGAAAACCATTTACATGCATACCCATAGCATAGTTACTTAATGTTTTCTAAAACTGCCAGGAATAATATATATATGACGAAATCATGCTTGAGTATTAAATTCAAAGCGTATTTTTATCCTGTAAGTAAATGCTCTACATCAAGTATGTTTACAGTCATTCCAATAAAATTAAAAAAAACACACACAAAAGACCAAAACAAACACAAAAAAACACAAGAAACGGAGGTAAGAACTGAAAAACACGATCAAAATCAACGTTATATAACCAAACTTTTGTGCAAATGATAAGCGTACTATGCTTCATAATGATTTACACACTTATTGACTAATAAAATACGCTTAAACGTACCGTGATTAAGCACAAAAACACACTGACAGTAACAAAAAATATCATAAGAACTCCAGGACATATTTTGAGTTATCGCAAGAACTCCGTAACATTTGAAAAATCGGGTATAAATTTATTAGCCTGGGCTTTATGTTTGCAACTCTCCATAATAATTAGGTAATTAAGTATAGCAACGAAGAAGATCACAAATGAAAAGGTCAATATGTACGAATTAGCAAGTAATTTGGTAATTTTTCTCAAAACTACCAGATTTTTTTTTAAAAAGGCGACAAAATATGTATCTAAAGATTTTTTCTGAAACAAAATACAATATGTAGGGCAAGCTTAATTATCAAAATTAAATTTAGCACCTCAAACTCCCCATTTAAAGTTAAAAATAACCATTTTTTACGCGAGTTCTCCAAGTATATAGAAAAGTTTTCCACTGAAATCCGTAACGTTTTCCAGGAACTCCGTGACAGTTATCATAAGATCTCCAAACAAGTTATCATAAGAACTCCATCCTTCGTGTAACACTTTCTCCCCCGTGGTTGGGGAGGTGTAAAATTTCATGATCTTATATTTAGCAGGTAATTGTAATAAATTGTTCTAAAACAAAATGTTAATTTACATTTTTAA